GTTCAGTATCTTGATAAATAAGATATATATAATTGATACTTACTACACATGTACATTGCCCTTAAAAGCAGAGAGTTAAAAGTATGCCACCAAATAATGAAAAATACTGGTAGGTTATCCAGAATGCTAACATTTGGGCCAGTATCCTGTTTGGTTTTTCTGTTTATATAATGGGTTGTTGCACACATAGTTGTCTTTTTTCCCTTCTGGGAGTTCTGGGGCAAATGTGGAGCATTCTGCCTGGGCATCCCTTATGCTTCATACTTACCAGTATAGCCCAGGACCACAATATGAATGACATATGTCACAAATAACTAGTCTGCAATATCACTTACTTGCAGTTTATTCCCCTTTTCCAGTAATGAAAGTATAATTGCATTATAGTTAAGTTGTAATGAGGAGAGAGTTACACACCTTTTGTGGTATAACCAACTTCTATGCTCATCTTTTGGAAACTAAAAGACAACTATTGTAATAACGTTTGATAAAAATAAAATACTACTTTTAAAAATTGGAGCTAAGCTAACTATTTTGGTGGGGGGCTTGGAACGAAAACTGTAACTCACTATTTTCCAGGTTATGTTTAAGAAAATATAAAGTGCACAAATGGGACATTTTTGCACCTAATCACCAATGTATATTGGATGTTAAAATTACTTCCTAACAGAGAATGTGGGGCGTATGTTGCTTCTTCCGACCTAGATCTGAAGGTGGGCAGCCTTCCACAGCCTGTTGCCGTCCAGATGCATTAGGTTATAACTCCCATAATCCCCAGGCAGACAATAGGTCGATCTCTGCATTGAAATAAATTTATTGCTCCTTGGTTCAAGTATTAATAGAGAAGATTTCTTTAGTAACACCAGTTAACTGTTCCTTTATGTGAAACTGTTAACAATAATTATAGGTAAAGGATATGAAGTCTCTAATCACTGCCAGAAATGGATACACATATACTAAAAGGGTAAAAAAGCAAGAAAGAGGCCTGCCATTTTGCCATGTACTACAGTTGTAAGAATAAACTCATTCTGTTGTTGCTTGTTGCTGGCGATTTAAATACATTGAAGGTTCTTACGTGTGTCTGGCTGCAAAGTCCTGAGTCCTCAATATACAAGGCTTCCTCCCCTTCCAGTGAAAATGCCTAGCAAGGTCTTTTTAACTGCTGTGTGTAAAAGGTACTGGTAGCTGTATCCTGGTGCCTGGGATTGCAGATCAAAGTGCTAAGACTTTTTGATTAGTGGGGTGTGGAAATCATCTGCCACTCCACTAAGGCAACTCTTTCCAGGAAGGTAGACTTTGCAGCTGTTGTATTTTAAGAACACCATGAGAAAATGAGACCTGATGAAAAAGACAATACTGCTGGAAAATAAGCTGAAGGCGGCAGGAAAATCAGAAGATCAAATATGTGATGGATTCATTTAATTAAGGAATCCATTATTTTTTATTTTGCAAGAGCTGACCTATTAATTATAAGACATTTTGGAAGTGACTCATTCATAGGGTTGCCATAAGCATTTAACAACAACAGATGGGGCAGAGGATGGGTTTTCCAAGCAATAATAGATGGTTGCCAGCTATCACTGTTGTAATGCAAAGCAGTTTGAAGTGGCTTATTTTTGAATTGCCAATTTAGGCTCATCAGCTTTACAAAGGATCTGCTCCTGCTGGAGATGAAAACTTCTAGAACTGTTTTTAAACAATGAAACAACACAGCTGAAAACAGATTTTAGATAGTCATTGGGAGTGTGGTTAGAGAAAACATGTTGAGTTCCACAGTTTTTCAGGAGTCAGCCATCTTACTTTGCTATGACATGTAGAAGAACAAACAAAATCTTGAGCTACTTTCAGGACTAACAGATTCATTTAAATGGAATCTTGCAGAGATTATAGCCCTCCTCTGGATTGCTGTACAACTCTCTCTCTCTCTCTCTGTATGTGTGTGTGTATGTGTATGCATGTGCATATATGTTCATATGTGAAGGACTGGTATGTGATATTTGCATAGTGGAGCATTCTGACTAATCAGAATCGGTCAGTCAGACAGATATATAAAGCAAGTGGCAGTTAGCTATCTGTCATAAGGATAAATATGTGATAGGATACAGTTTGGTCAGATAGGTGTTAGATATGTGATGTAGAAGAACAGATAAACAAACAAACAAACTCTTGGGGTACTTTTAAGACTAACAGATTGATTTCAATGGACTCTTCCAGAGATTGCAACTCTCTGGATTACAAACCACACCTATACATCAATACAAATGGGTTGGTTGAACTGGGAACCAAGAAAGGCCAAACCTATTTCCTCAGACTTGAAGATGTCTTGATTTTATAAGGAGTATATTTGCTTGTTTTATTTTCACTTTGCCTTTCTTTCAGAACTGGAACTCACAGGGCCCTAAACTGCCAGATTTCAAGACGTATAATCAAAATGCTAATACTCTGGACCAGTTCTGGAAATGTTTTTACGTGTGTAGTCCTTTGTGAAATATTTATTGGAAGGAAGTTTAAATTATACCAGCAGCCTCCGTAGAAAGCCAAGGAAATTTTTTCCTTCAATAAATAATGTTTTTCCCACAAAAAAGCATATTGTAGTCTTTTATTGTAACAGTGTAACAACTTATCCTGATCTACCCGGACCTAACTGTATGGGTGATATTCCTATCACAAAAGGGAGGTGACAGATCTCTAAAAACAAGCTAATGGGCAGAAGGCCAATAAAATCAATGTGCATTCCTTTAAGATGGATATATTTAGAATTATGGACTCAATTCTAAACTTGTTTGCCTTCTATGGAAAATTAATTTCCCCCCTGTCTCTAATTGTACAATTGTACAATATATACAGTAATTGTACAATATATCCCACAGAGCTCAGTGATAGACTTGTTTCTGGGCAAACAAGCATAATAAGCCTGGGTTGCACATGAGTCAGTGGGTTAGTTAGGAATAGATTCACTGAAATCAAAGCAAATTAAATCATGACTTATTTAAACCTAAAGAATTTCATACAATTAAGTAAACTGAAGTGTGGATCCAGCTTCCAATTTTTTAAAAAAGCTATCATATAAGCTTTGATTCACCCAGGACTGGTCTTCAGAACCAGAGAATAATAAGATCATAGAATAATGAAGTTGGAAAGGACCTATAAGGCCATCTAGTCCAACCCCCTGGTCAACCAGAATCCTTGTAGCTCACAAAGATTGCATCCTGTATCTTTAATGCTAAGGCATACAGGGAGTGTATGAAGTCTGCAAAACTTGTGATCTACAAAACCTAAACTATTGCATAGGTTACCCAGTGGGCCATAATATGTGGACTATGCATTGCATTCAGTTCATTGTGAATCATAAATTGTACGAACCTTGTTATATTTCAGCCTAGCGTAACCAAACGTAAGAGTTGTTGTGAAGACGAAACTGATGGTGGCAGTCTGGAAATAATGCACTGCACACTCTACTGAGCTTCCTGGAAGAAGGGTACAATTAAAAAATGAATAATTACAATTATAGTTATTATGTAATTGGAAACAAATGTGTATAACAAAACCCCAACAGTTATGTGTTTTAGAAAGGAAAAACAGGACTGGAAGGATGAGGTATAACATGGAGAAATTGTGGGGTGTACTAACTTAAGCTTTCTTGCCATTTGTTTGGGGCCAGCATGAAACCTTCTGCAGTTTAAGCCTATATAAAAGCTGCTCAAATTAGCACTTGAATCTTATTTCAGCACTGATGACAAGACAGCTTCTTCTACTGTACCTGAGAGCAACAGGTTAACTTGGAGAAGATAGTGGCTCAGAATGTGCTGCTATATTCCTTAGGTGGCCCTTAACTTCTGCTGTCTGAGATAGCTGCCTGATTCTGCCTCATAGCAGGCCAGGCCCTGCATCTGCCATTTTCCTGCTTTATTTTGCTCCCCATCATTTCTCCATCCCAAAGCTCAGGTGGCTGGGCAGGAGGGGGAGGGGACTCAGAACTGAGCAAAGAGCAAGGAAAAGTTTAAGCAACCCATTTTACATTTGTGCCAGATTGGCCCTCCTTGCTGCTTAAAAGATGGCTGCTGCGCCGCCGGGTTCCATTACATTCACCCACAGCCAATGTATTATGTTCAGCAAGACTCTGGTCAAGAGGAATGGTGTATTTCCAGAGCAAACGTTCTAAGCTCTACTGAGTTCTGTGGAAAATAAACAGATAAAGAAGCTCATAAACACTTTCTTCTGGCCCTTTCCATTTTCCTTTTCTTATAACTTTCCTTTTCTTATCAAATACCTGTTTGAATACTTCATTGTATTAGGCAGGACCACAAAGAGTTCTTTTAATTATATGGAACTATTTTATTTCATGCACAACTCCCAGGATGCATTTCTCTAAGCTCTACTGAGTTTGTTAGAACTCAAGACTCTAACTACAAGGTTAGTTAGCAGAAAGACAGTCCCACTGAATGTTGTGGGGCTTTGTTCCAAAAAAACAAGCCAGCATCACTTTGCCTGGATTACGGCCATGAGGACTTAGGATATATTTTAATTCACACATTTCAAATATGTCCTTTTAATCATGAGGAACTGTGCATACCGGTGTTGTTTCACAGTTCAATCCTATGCATGTGTAGTTGGGCATAAGTGCAATTGCACTGAGAAAAATAGATTTGTCGGCTTGCTTGTTTTGCATTTTCTTGGGTTCAGCAAAGCTTATTTCCAGGAAAATGTGGACAGGATTGCCGTCCATGAGAATAATAGAAGCACCTACCTATATGGCACAATTTCTTGAAAGATGAGAGGAGCTTTAGAAATTAAAGCTTGTAAAGGTCCTTTAAAAAAAGAATCAGTCAGCTGAAGGGTATAGACATGATTCATTCAATTGCTTTACTGCTGACTTAACGAAGGCAATCCTGAGGTGTTTTTTTTTAAATACGTCTTTGATCAGCAAAAGCAAGGGACGAACTCAGTCGGTACGGCATGTTGTGGGATGGAATGGTCTCCCCCACCCCCACCCCTTTATTTGAATGACACTTAAGGAAGTTTCATTCCGTCCTCCCAACTTTTACCCGGCTTTCCCGGGAGTTAGTTGCCGTGTTGTTTTGTTGTCTTTCTCCCTGTCCGGGCTGGTACCACCCACCTTCCGCCCGCGCCCCCTCCCCCACCTCTCAGGCGCTCTCCTTGAGGAGGGAGAGGGCGGAGAGTCGAGCCCTCCTCCTCAAAGCGGCTGCCCCGGCTCTGCACCCGATCGATGCGCGGCGGCGCGGGGCGCTCACCAGGAGAAGGGCTCTGACGTCAGGCCCCCGGGAGGTGGTAGTTTCCAGCGCGAGCTGTCAGACCCGGTGGCAGGTTAAGGGCTTCCGAGGCACCTTTCAAGCAGCCCCCCCCCCGGAGCGCCCGCCCCTTCCGAGCGGCCTGCCCGGGCACACACAAAGAGGGGTCCCTCGCCTCGTCCGAGCCAGCCGCGGCCACTAACACGCGCCTTCTGCCAAGAGGACCTGGCTTGCAAACCCGGGCCGGGGAGAGGCGCCAGGAGGAGGTGAAAGGGGGTGGGAAACAACACACCGCGAGGAAGAAAATGAAACCGACCAGGAAAAGTAAGGCTCCTGGAAATTTGGCGGGGGTGGGGGCTGCGTGGGAGTGCGTGAACGCGTGTTCTCTCTCCCCCCTTCTTTCCTTCCACTCTCGTGCGGGATCATCCAACTTTGGGTTGTCTTGCAAACGGCGTGCGGGCAGAGCGCTCGGGAGGCGGAAAGCGCCTGCGAAGGAAAGGGACGTGAGGTTTGCAAGCGGCGTCTCCCTCCCTCTTTCTTTTTCCTCCCCCGAAGGCAAAACCAGTCTCGGCAGGCAACCAGGGGGGAAAAGAGTTGTTTCGTGTCTCTGTGTGGGCGTAGAGCCTGGATGGAGCACCCTCGTGGTGGAGACCGGGTGTTTTGTGTGTGTGTGTGCGCGCGCGCGCTCCGGAGAGAAAAGAGACTTCTTTCAGAGCGGTTGCTTTTGCAAAAGCTGCTCAACTTTGCAAAAAGAAAAGAAAAGTTGGTAAGGGGTCGAAGCGACAAGAAAAAGAAAGGGGGGGGGGAAGAATGCCTTCTGAGCGCTCAAGTATGCCGAGCGAAGGAGAGGAGCGAAGGAGTAAGGAAGGGGATCTTTTGTTCGGTCACGTTTCTTGCAACACACTGCAGAAGGAAAAGCAAAGCAGATCCAACTTCTGGCTTCCCACTTTCTGAATGGAGCGCTCACTCCCCCTCGCTGCCGCCCGCTCCCTCACCAAGTTGATTTCATTATTTTTTATTTTAAATAGCTATGCCTCCACGTTTTCCGCTTGCTCTCCCCTACTTTTTTCATGTTTCTCCTCTTGATCCCAAAATGGCAACTTTCCCAATTTTCTCTTTTGCAAACTCCTCCCTTCTTCCCCCATCTGTCTGTGCCCCCCCCTCCACGAGCGAGAGTTCGGCGAATTATAATTCCCCCCCCCCTTCTTTCTTTTTCTCTCGATTTGCGGGGCTTGTAAAATGACAGCTTGGGGTGGAGAGGATGTGTTTGGAGTAAAACCAGGGTAACGCGTGCGATGGTGGGGGGGGGGCAAAGAAGGCAAGTTCCTGTTTCTTTTGGAACAAAGAGAACTCTGTCTCGGCATCTGTCACTCAGGGAAAGAGACACGGAACGAAACTTTTTTGTGTGTGTCTTTCTTGATTCCAGTCCTTGCCTTCAACGCGAAAGCCCTCCCCCCCACTTTTTTTTTAAATCGCGGGGTGGGGTGGGGGACGGAAGAGTTTTGGTTAATCCAAAGCTTTGCCCTTCGGGCCCCCCCCCCCCCCCGCATGGAAGCGATTCGGAAGAGGAGAAGCGGGGGTAAGAGCGACGATGTTCAGAGGCAGAAAACATGGAGTCCCGGTTTGTTTTGTGTGGTGGGAATGGACAGGAGAGGGATTTAAAGACAAGGGGGCAAGCCCGGGGGCTGAACTTTCGCTCTCCAACCTTAACTTTCCTCTCTTTGGAGACTCCGGATCCGAGCTCGCGAGCAAACCAATGCGGACGCGAGAAATCCGCGAGTTTTAATTTCAAAACCAACCCCCCCGTGAAACCGAGGGCGTCTTCCTAACGAGCAAACTTTTGACATGTGATTTGTTCCCTTCTTGGCTTTGGAAGGGAAGAAAATGAGACGTTTTGCTCTCTTTCCTCGGTCTTCTCCGCCCCGCGTTGGATCTGTTCTCAGGGGTCTTTCCTTTGTGTCGGAATGGGGACGGCGAAGGCAGCTTGTTGCTGTTTAACTTCCTCTTGAGGTTTTGATGCTTAGATCTTTTTCTTTCTTTTTTTTTCAACGACTGTGGGCGGTTTAGGGACAATACAACCCGACCGGAGAGAAGGAGGAAAACGTGCTTTCAACCGAAGACTCCGCTTTTTTCCCTGTATTGTTTGTAATTTTTTTTAAAAAATGTTTAATTTAAAAATACAGGGTATTTTTTTTTGTTTGTTCTCAGAATTGAGCCGTTCCCATGGGTAGCTGAGGGCCAGGAGGAAACGGCGTGAAGCAAAAAAAACCCCGCACCTCCTCCATCCTTGATGAGTTACAGACTTAAAACAGAAAAGAGAGAATGACTCCCTCACGTAGCCAGCAGCCTCCCCGCCTCTGCCCGCCCCGCAGCCCTCAGCGTTGCCTGCTGGAATAGGAGGGCTCCATTTGCTTTTTAAAAATTAGCCTCAAATTTAGCCATTTTCTCTTGGGGGGGCGGGGGAGGCGAGTTGGCATTTCAGTGGACTTGAATTTGTCTGGTGTACTGTTTGTGGGTGTGTGAGTGGCTCGGGGTGGTGGACAGGGGGACATGTTGATCTTTGAATGCCTCACTCCAAATAAGCATGGCCACATGTCTAGGAAAGAGCAGTGAGCTAACCTGAGGCAAACTGAAAGCAGACTGTTGACCTAGCCAATTCCTTATATACTGTTTTTCTCTTTCTCCTCCTCCCACTTTTAAAAGTGTGTGTGAGTGGGAAATGTCTGTAAGTTTGTCTAGGCTATGGGGTGAACTGTAAGAATATCTTGGAACAAGCTTTGAGCACTCCCCTCCAAAGGACGATTCTGCCTTGAATTCCTAGTATTTAGTATTTTTCAGCAGAATAATCAGGCTCTCAAGCTGTGTTGCACTTAAGGGCCATCCTTCCTCACCCCTCACCCCCCTTTTTGGGGGGCTTTTCTCTGAAACATTTGGGTGAATGAATTTTTGATATGTGTAATAATTCCAGAGACTTGCTGGGTTAATTTTTTTTTAAATCTCAAGGACAGTTTCTTCCTTTGGGAAAATGAAACATGTCTCCAGAACATGGTTAAATTGTTAAGTGTATCCAGGTTTGCACTAGAGAGATGAGTCACATTTGGAGACAAACACTCTTGTGTTTTGTGTGTATGCATCCCTTTGTGAATTTCTTTACCAAAGAAGAATTGGTTGGTTGAGACCTCTTAGAGAAGTGTCTTCTTGTACCTGGTGGTAGAGCTTCATAATTTAGTTCAAAAACATAATGGGCCAGCATGCTGAAGCAGAACACACAATGTTGTTCTGTATTTGATCATGCTGTGAAGTCTCCAGTGTTGACAGAGGTTGGCCTAAAGTTTGACTTCTGCTGAGACCAGAACATCCTCCGCTGGTGGCTTAGGACAATTAGTCAGCTGTTAGACCCAGTTAATCCATTGGTAAAATTTTGATTTTGCTAGTTTACTCTTTTAAGAAACAGAACAAGTTAAAACTGTGACCAGTGTCCTGCTCAATATTTACAAGTACGCAGTGCTCCAGCTGTGGAAATGCCAGTGTGGTACAACCAACCACATAACTGGCATCTTGGATTCCCATGACAGCTTCCATGGTTAGTGTTCTACATGGGTACATGTTAAATGGGATACTGGCCATTGAAACTAACTCTTTCCTTGCTAGCTAATGACAGAAATGGGTGCTTAAATGGGATACTGGCCATTGAAACTAACGCTTTCCTCTCCTTGCTAGCTAATGACAGAAATGGGTGTGTATCCTTATTAAGCTATATACCCTTATATGCTCCTTCTTTTTTGCTAGTTGTCTTTCTTCTTGCTATATACAACTGCAAGCTTTATACGTCCAGTGGTTGTTCAACATATTGTTATCATTTTATGATGCATCTGAAGCTTAATGTACTTGGTCCTAATGTGTAACTCATGTCTCTTGCATCATTCCAGGCTTGAACCCAGATAGATCCATCAGCAGTTCTACCATGTCGGATAGTGACTTTGGAGAGGATGACGGGATTCTGTCTCAGGAACAGGATCCCCTCCAGGCTGGCAAGAGGAAGCGAAGGGGTAATCTTCCAAAGGAGTCTGTGAAGATTCTCCGGGAATGGCTGTATGAGCACAGGTTCAACGCATATCCCTCTGAGCAGGAGAAACTCAGCCTTTCTGGGCAAACAAGCCTTTCTGTTCTCCAGGTAGGACCTGCTTGGCCGTTCTTTCCCAGTTGGTTCTCCTGTGTCTGAGCTGTGACCTTAGGATAGCTATATGTCAATGCTGCAGACAGCTGTGTTGATTATTACACATTATTATTCTTACTCTCTAACAGATGAAACAATAATAAAAATTGCCACAACTCTGTAACCACAGTTTCCATTTCACCAACATATGAGCTGGGAAATGCATTTTTTTAAAAAAATTTGCATTGCAACTTCATGCAGATTGAGGGAAGGGTGGATTCTAGCCCGTAAAGTATCTTTGCCAAGTTTTATTCTAAGTACTCTTCACACTTGAGAGTCTTGAAGACATAACACGTCCTTGTGTGGAATAATGTAACAATTGATAATGCCATTCTTTTGGTGTAATCTGTAATATTTACTTGTGGTTCCTAAAATGGTGGTGGTGATAGAACAATCTGAGAAGTGTTGGAGGACAGAAATGTGTGTGCACACCATCTACTCAGTGTCCCCTAAATACCCTGCTGGTCTTTGACATAGTGGAGGATGTCAGGCCAGCTTGCAGCCAGTGATCAAGTAAATTTCTGCTGCCAGTTCTGTTGACTTTTCTATGGAAGAGATGTTTATGTGGATGTGTGTCGGTTTGTCCTTGGCTTCAGGCAGCAGAATGTCTGGGGCTACCTTGGAAGGAGATGCTTGGCATGAGTTTTTGGGATGGCAGAATGTGGGCCTTAAAAAAAAACAACCTTATTAGCCTAGTTTCAATAACAAAACACTTTGTGACCATGAAGACCTTATACTTCCTCATCATCAAGTCTTCTGTGTGAGCTTGTATTTCTGTTGGGGAAGATAAGGAAGAAGGTAGTTTAGAAAGTAAGGAAGATAGCTCTTGTCTAATTTAATCCAGATGTGAGCAGTTGTAGCAGAACCACCCACTCCACACCTGATCTGAATTTAGGCAGTTCAGTTTGCACAGGATGAAGTGCAGCTGAGGGTCTGTGTCCTGCCATTTCAATTTGGATGGGGCAACTCTTTCAATTCATACCCTAAAAGTGTTGAATGCTCTCAGAATTCAGCTTTCCTGAATATTAAATACCTTTAAAGCCCTCTTAAGCACCTGCTGTTCCAAGGGATTGGCTGTGATTTTTCAAAAATGACTAAACATCCTGCAGTTAATTGAGGTAAGCAGATAAGAGGGCCTTGCCTTGTTTACGTTTTATTTATTTGCTACCTTGATGTCCTGCCATTCCTCCATTGAGCCCAGGTGCTGCACATGGTCCTCTTCTTCCCTGGTTTATCCCTGCAACACCTTTTAAAGATAGGTCAAGGTGAAAGGCCACGGCTAGCTCAAAGTCACCCAGTGAGTTTCATGGCAGACTAGAGACTTGCACCCAGGTCTTCCAAACTCTAATCTAGGGCTTTAATCACTATTCCTCATTGGCATCTCAGAGAATATTTATGTCTGGCTACAGCATTTCCTTCTAGATGGACCTAAAGATGGAGAGGCTTACTTTTTTTCTTTTAACTGCAGCTTCCCAAAGAGTTGTGGAAGACTGGGAATTGTAGTCTGAAAAAGTAACACCTCAAAAAGTAACACAACTCTTGCCCAAAAAGGCATTGGGGATGTTTTAAAAAATACGTATTGGTGCCAGCAGTTGATTCTTTACCCATCAGTAACCATATATTTTTACTTTTCTCAGAGTGCTTTAAGATTAGAATTCAGGCAAACTGTCCTGAATTCAATAGTTGATTTATTCTGGCAGATCCTTAAGTATATGCAGAGCTAGCTGAGAATCCTGTACTGTTCCTAGAAAGAGTTATTGCAAGAAGGCAAGGGTAACATTTTTAAATATCTCAATATCTATCTTTTTCAGTCTTCAGCAAAAGCTGTACAAGTGAACACATTTGTAGTAGAAATGCAAAGGCATGTCTGGTTTGTTTGTTTGTTTGTTTGTTTGTTTTTTTGAGAATTCCAGCAAACAACTTTAAGGACCCTTGCTTTTAAGGGTTTCTGTTGGTGAGTTGCTTAGATTTCCAGTGTGAAAATGGCTTAGACTTGGCCTGGTGCTTTATCTGTGTGGAAGTCTTTTCCATGCTTCTTTTTCCTGACAGTAGAAGCTGTTTTTCCCCACCTAAGAGACAAAACTAATTAGTCTCAATTTAAATCATTGATATTTCTTATTTTAATACTCTTGTCAATTCATACCCCATTCCAATGGATTATGAAACTTTTAAATTAAATATTCATATTCTAATTGAACAAGACATTTGAGTAAATGCAGGGTTGTGCATATTCAAAATAAAACTGCAGAAACATCATCTCTGTGTGATGTTCACATGCTGCAAATGTTTATCCAATATATGTTTTTTTAAAAAAACCTGATATTGTGTTTTGGCTAAATAAAATTCAGATGATTGGGTAATATGGCAATATCTGGCTTTTCAGTGCATTATGCAATGTTGTTCCTTTTGTGGCTTGACTTTGCCTTTTGTTTCACTTTTATTTTATCCATCTTGATAATTTCTCAGCGAATCAATGGGTTCTGTGATCTGGGCATCTTTCTCTCCCTCTCTGGACTTATGAGTTGGAGGAACTTCCTTGAGAATTGGGAAGGGACTGCCCCAGCTAGACTCCTTTCAGGAAATGAGTAACATTTCTGTGTTCCTGATAGCCCTGCTGGATGAGGCCAGTGGTCCCTCAATTGTGACTTTCATAGTGAGTAACAAAATGTATTCAGGAAGCTCATGTTCTTTACTCTGGTGTTGAGGAGCATAGACATGTCATATGTAGCAGGGCCAGCTGCATATATGTGCCTGCATATTTTAGTGTTGGCAGAAGAGCACAAAATCTTATTAAAGAAGGAGCTTTGCTTGCCCTCCCATGTAGACTGCAAATGGGGGAATCTCTCGTCCCTTCAGGTGTTGCTCTATTGAAACTCCTATCAGCCCCAACCCAGTTGTTGGTTAGTGAGGGATGATGGGAATTCGGCAGGCAAGCAACCTTTGAAGGACTGCAGGTTCCTCTTCCCAGGTAGAGATTATCAATACAGTAAATGTATGAAGCAAGCATCCATCTTTGATTGTGCCGATGAGGAGAGGTTTTAACTCTTGTTTACTTCCATTCTTGTAGTTACAGCCTGCCCAGTCCACCCGTGGGACATAATTTATTAAGAAATAAATAAATAGAAATTTCTCTGGGTTTTCTCCTTTTACCAGACTATGTGATGTGATAAATGTCTGTCTGGGACACCTGAGTGTACTAGATCCTTGCCAAGAGCTAGTATTAGTTGGTAGTCCACCGTAACAGTTAGAGTGGACATATAGAGAAGAGGGCAGGGTTCTACTATGTTTGATGCCGGCCTGAAAGTGGGACATCTGGCAGATGCCACCAGCAATGACAGGCCACACCTGTTGAAACTTCCTCTACAACACAACTGCTATAAAGGTGGAAGAGGCCTGTTCTCTTTGCCACCTGTAGCTCCAGCAGCCAAATAAAGGGGGCCATATAAGTAGATGAAACACAAGAGAGTGACAGAGACCCTGGTCTGCATTATAATATATAATCAGTTTTGCAGCTAAAAGAGCATCTGTTCACCCTGTTTACAAGAGTATCCATTGCAGTCAGTAAGACATCAGTTCCAGCTTAATGAACCTTGATACATGAGCAACACTCAAATCCAGATTATTTTCATTTAGCACAAATGGGAAAGCAAACTAGGAGTTTTCTATTATGTCTGAACTGGGGACAGTGCCTGCTTGCTTTTGTACATCTAAGTAATAATCATGTGCTGTCAAGTCATTTCTGACGTAAGGCAACCCTTTTTCAGGATTTTCCAGGTAGAGAATACACAGAAGTGGTTTACCATTCTTCTAGGGTGCCCTGGAACTGTGGAGCTTGCCCAAGGCCACACACGCTGGTTCTTGTCCTTGGAGGCACATGTGGGAAATTGAACTCCCAGCTTCTGACTCTGCAGCCAGTGAACTAAACCACTGAACTATGAAGCCAGCTCCAGGATCTTGTGCCAAACTTTTAACTACAGTTTTAAATTTGGTTTCTTAATCATGGTTTAGTTGGAAGCAATTTGATTGTACCGGGAAGGCACCATTCTTAATTGTGCATTCCTAGTTTAACTTTCCTGTTTGAAAAAAGGAGTGAAGTGGGAGCGGGCACTAGCTTAGTAATTGTGCATATACTGCTTTATTAACCTGTAAGATTGATGGCTTCCTGTGACATGCAGGCATAGGCAATATGGGATAACCTCTCAAACTAGCTTTTTCTTTGTGTTTGAGAGATCCAAGTAGTACCACTCAGGACACTAGATTTTGTCCAGGGACTACCAGTTGCCTACCTGGAGCAACCTAACATTATTTGATCCAGGCCCTAGACTCTGTGGAGTTTTAGTGGCTTACCTTTCTCCCTTCCCTTATCAACTAAAATTCTTTCTGCTCAGTGGGCTGCTTATAACCATTAACTTGGAAGCCCCACTGATTTCAGTGGGTGCTGCTTTCCTTGCAGGGATACATAGGATTCTGTCTTTAGTGTTGCCATATCTTGGTCCATGTCTGTTTAGCTAACCACAGTTTTAACACCCATATATCTGCACATAAGTCCAGATGTTGCTCCATATACTTTTAGATATTTGATAGAAAATTATAAGTCACTGAATACTAAACTAAAAGAGTTCTACTCAAGGAGGAAGAGAAAGGGGAAAAATCTGAAGAATGTAATGATTGATTGGAGATTTTTCAGATTGTGCTTTTCACAAGACTAAGTAGCAGTGATCAAAGTGCTTTTTAGAAGTGACTGTTTGAGATCCATGTCTTTGGTTGCCCCCCCCCCCAATAGTGGAGAACACTCTTCATAGAACTGAGGGTCAGTTGGGTGCCTGACTCACTGAATAGCTGGTAGCGTCCCTCGTAGAGTTCTGAGCTTCCTTTAATAGTTCCTGTTTCTCTATAGATTGACCAAGTCAGGGCTCTTATTGTGGAGATCTGACTCCACAATAATGCTTAGTCTGTTC